GACGTATGTATCCCTTAATTTCGTTAATCAAGAGTCAGCTATAATCTGAAGACTGCCATAATCTGACGTCTGTCAGTTATAATCTGACATCTGTCAGCTATAATCTGTCGTCAAGCTTCACTTTAAAATTGTTATACATTGTGATTTAATTCTTATTTATCCACTGCTTTTGTTATTTTCTGTTGTTTATCAACTTATATTACCTCATATTTCTACTAATACATTTCTAATACTTTCTGCCACCATCACCACTATTGCTACCACCATCATCCCTCCTACATCACTATCATCACTATCATCTAACCACAACTCTCCTTCAAGTCTTACTGACCCTTGTCTCTGGTTTTCCACAGGTCACTCTCGGCAGGGTCTGAAGTGCCGGATGTGCAAGACCAACGTGCACGTTGAGTGCCAGGAGCAGGTCCCCAAGTGCCAGCCCAAGTCTCGTATGCTCCGTCGGCAGCGTTCCACCTCGGAGATCGAGTCGAAACAGATGGATGGCGATGACGAGAGTGAGTAAATGTGGCAGCATCCAGAGCCCTCGTTGTTCCTTGGTACTGCGGTGGTGTTGGCCCCGGGGTGCGTGTGTGTGTGGATGTGTGGGTGTGTGTGGGTGTGGGTGGGAGGGGTGTGTTTTTGTGGGGGGGTGGAGAGAGAGAGAGAGGTGTAATTCCTAGATAGATTTCTTGGCCGAGCGTTTTTTCTCTCATTATCTGCGAGTCTTCATTAAGATTTCATCTCTCCTTCATTTCAGATGTTTGGAATAGCCAACTCAGATTTTTTCTTTTTTTGCTGGCTGGGGGGAGAGGAGGGATGTCACCAATTAGCTAAGTGTCTTTAATTTTTTTCCCCCAATGACAGAATCTTCAACAATTTTCAATTTCCTGAGTGTTTATTTTTATTTTTAGTAAACAAAAAACATGACGCGTTTCACACACACACACACACACACACACACACACACACACACACACACACACACACACACACACACACACACACACACACACACACACACACTTTTTTAGACAGTCAAACAAGCCAAATTTGTCTAAAAAATAAGACTTTTTTTTGTGAATTAGAAAGGCTACAGCATTGCTTAATGTTGCATCCAAAATTACCTTAGCATCGAAACTATAGTAAATTAAGACTGTTATGTACCATAATATTCTAGACTTCAAGAGCAAGTAAAGAGATGTTTAAAAAAAAATGAAAGTTGGTTTCAGATACTGGATAAATGATTATACTTATATAATTATATATATATAGAATATTATATTAATTATATATATATATTTATATATATTAATACTCATATATATATATTATATTATATTCAGTCACGTGGAATATTGTTTATTGTTCATTCACTAAAATTGTAGTTAAGTGCCAGGAGCTGGACCAATATTGCCACCACTGCAGGTGTCAACTAAATTGCCATGGTGGCCACAAAAGATTTCAAGCTGCCACAAAATTGCTGATTTTGTTCTACAAAGCAATTATAACAAGTGACCTGCCTCACAGATGGGCCTCTTACACTCAGTACATGTCAGTTGCCTAACCCAGCCAATTTATAAGCACTGATAACTTAACAGCTTTCCATGCAAATTGTACTCATTGATATACGAGGGTAAGACTTCGACTTATCACCTGATCTGATTTAGCAATTAGACCTGCCTAAAAGTATTGCTCTGATTTCAGTGAACGCACTGGCTACAAAATTTAAATAGAATTTCATGACAAGCCTGTTTACAATAGGGGCTTTTATGGCATACAGTTATATGCAATTAAATTATCTATTAATTCACTAAATAAGTGATACTACTTAATAAACTTCCACACTTAAAAGTGACATACCAATTCAGGAACTTCCTACTGTTGCGTATTATAAAAGTCTCATTGGGATCAACTTCCTAAATTAAAACTCCCTCATTATTATTATATTATTATTATTCTATTTTTCTCTAATAGCTAAACCCGTGTGGGTCACTGGGGCGCAAGCAATGTTAGAGATTTGATATACCCTTCAGCTAAAAGCTATACCCTGTTCCACTCAGATCATATTTTTCCCTGTTATTTAAGACTCATTAAGCCTCTCTCTTGTCTATACGAGAGTCTTAGCCACCATCATCTTATTAAGGAACTCTTGAAACCTGCCTCGCAGTAAAGCCTTTTTAACCTTTTTCTCATTAAAGGTTTTTTTTTTTAAATCTCCCATTACGGCCTTTTAAAACTTCGTTAAGGGCTGTTTTGAAACCTTCCAGGCATTAAGGCCTTTTATGTCATTCTAAGGCTTTTTCGAAACCTCCCTAGCCCCAAAGAATTTGAAGAAATGTAACACATTAAGAGCTCTCCGGAAACCTTCCTTGCGATTAAGCTTCAAGGAAACCTCCCTGCCACTAAGGTCTTTATAAAATCAAATAAAGAAAATATTTTTGTCTTATAAGAATTTCCAACTCAGGATTTCATCATTAAGTTTTCTATATAAAATTCTGTTGAGACATCTCAGTTCATATGTAATTTTAAAACACTATTATTAATTTTAAAACCATTTTTTGGGGGGGATCAACCAGTCTGTTGACATAACCTGAATGGGAAGCCCTTTCCATTAGGAGGACCTCTCTGAGGAACTCTACACATTAATAGAGCCTGTCTAATGAACCTTACACGTTAATAGGACGTGTCTAATGAGCCCTCCACGTTAATGGGATCTGTCTAATGAACCCTACACGTTAATGGGATCTGTCTGATAAACCCTGCATGTTAAGAGGACCTGTCTAATGAGCTCTACACGATAATAGGACCTGTCTAATGAACCCTACACATTAATAGGACCTGTCTATTGAACCCCCTCTGTCATTAGGACCTGTCTGTTAGTGGCGGATAAAAATTTGTTTATGTATGTTTTAGATCATATATTAAAAAAGACGTTTCGTCATTAGGAGAAAACCTTTCGCTCTTGGCGAAACGTTTTCTCTAATAAACATACTGAACTACGCAGAAGGGTCTTTAACCCCATCACACCTGCCAGTTGAACCCTTCCCTTGAAGAGATCCTGTCTGTTGAGCCCTCCACCGTTCGTAAGACCTGCTCGTTGAATCGGCCCGTTAATACAGTCTGTTAAGCCCTCTGCGATGAGTGTGCTTCACCGGCTGTGTCGCGGACGGTCGAGAGGTTGATACGAGGTTGCTTCTCTTGCAGCGTCTTCTGTGAGCGGCGGCGGTGGGAGCAGTTTCCGACCTCCCAGCACCCGACCCTCCGGTCAGTTAGCATGTGTGAAGAACTACGCCTCCCACTAACAGCGATATCCCATTAACCCGTGAGACACACGCATACACACACACACAGGACAGTAATGTTTTATTTTCTAGAGTAGAGTCATCTTTCTCCTTCGTGAAATAGAATACTGTCTCTAAAGTGTTAAAAAAATGGATAACCGGTGATTTTGGATTTTTTTTTTTTGGCCTGCTTGATCCAGAGAGGTTCTGGCAAGCTGGTGTTTCTTTGGGGCTGTTTTGCTAATATACTGACCTGGGCTGAGTGTGGCCAGTTAACAACTGCGTGAGTGCAAGCCAGTCACTAACGCATGAGGGGGAATGTTCAGGAACGATGATGTGGCTGTTACTTGTAAAAGTAGGGGGGTTGGAACCGAGACTCGACCCCCCTTGCAAACACACTACTAAGCAAGCACAACGCTTACACACACACACACACACACACACACACACACACACACACACACACACACACACACACACACACACAACCAGCGCGGCCAACACCACTTATTCTTGTTTTTAATTATTTAATTAACGATTTATACTGTTCCTTTAAGTATTATTTTTGCCCCTGCAATACATCCTCCTCCATGTTGTATAATGATATTTTGCCTTTGTTTATGTCCCAACCAAATACACACAACAACATACTCTCCCAATTTCCAAAGCGAACAGATTCATTTCCATATCCCGCAAACACACACGCATTCTCATGTTCATCTTCCTTCACTTATAAAAAAAATCTCTCCATGTCCTATGTTCATTATATCCTTCCACCACTCAAATACATATATATACCCCCTCCTCCTTCCCTTATATATATATTATATATATATATATATATATATATATATATATATATATATATATATATATATATATATATTATGATTATATATATATATATGTATGTATGTATATAATGTCGTGCCGAATAGGTAAAGCTGGTAAATTAGCAAGAACTCATTTAGAATTAAGTCGTTTCTGAAATTTTCTCTCATACGTTTAAGTTTTTTTTTATTTATGTTAATGTAAAAATTAATAATTTTGTACCAAAAGAACCTTAGAAAGCTCACCTAACTTTATTATAACAAGAGCAATTTAATTTAGCCTAATTCAGCTTAATATATTTTACACAAGTTTACAGTAATTTAATAATAAGCAAACAATGGAATATTTTTTTTTCGTTAGGTTCAGAATGATTTTTGCAAAATTGCATACACAAATTTTCGCTTGCTTTATTCGGCAAGAAGAGCGTTGCTATTAAAGCCAAATCGCAGCTTTTACGTATACGGCACTATATATATATATATATATATATAATATATATATATATATATATATATATATATATATATATATATATATATATATATATATATATATATAAACAAAATCCATTTTTCATGTATACCTATGCCTTCGTAACCCACAGCAGCGGTGTCTTGCTCAGGAAAACAGCACGTCCAGTACTGGTAGTAAATAAGAGAGTGAGAGTGTTACCATGGGTGTTAGCAAGTGACTTAGTAACACTAAACGCTTCTTGATTCTGCCTTATTTATAGTGAGTTACATGAAAGTCCAGATCATGAATGTAACGCAGGCATTGTTCTGACTGTGAGCTTTGCGCACTTGTGTTCAAGGATTCTGGTGTGTAGGCTGCGAGCTGTTTCATCAATGCAGTCTTCCTTACCCACCGCAGGGAATCTTGTGCACGCCTGCCACCATGTTAGCGTTTGGTCTAGTCACCTTCCTGAGGACGAAACAACGAGGACGCCATGTCTGGGTAAAGGGGGAGACATAAGTAGATGAAAACCATTTTATTAGTGTGTTTCCTGTTCGATTGAAATATGATTGCGTTTTGGACCATCGAGGGTGAATTGAGAAGAACCCATTTTGTTGAGGTGGTCAATTAAGTGTGCCAGGTTTAATGTTCTAGGTGTGCTTTGAAGAACGCCGCTGATGTATCGTACCTTTGTCACAGTAAAATATGATTCCGAAACGTTCTGTGTTTTAGTGCCCCCTTAATAAAACTCTTACATCACTCTTACAAAAATCTCCATACAAACATTTTCGGAATGGTGATGGGGTGCCCCATCTGTGCCACACTTCTAATTTTTGCTTGGAATCACTAGAAAAAAAATCTTTCCAGACATACGTCCCACCGTGATCTCGATACATACGTTGAAAAAAAATTCTAGTCGCGCCTAGGGGATTCACCCTAAAACTCTCGTGACCGCCTCAACACAGTGGGACCCAACATGTAGTTCATCCTGAAATTGCAGATGCATGATACTATCATTCCTGGATGTCAAACCTATTAGAATAATAAACCCCTTAAATTTCATGACTACAGGAAATCCACTAATAAATACTGTCTCGTCTTCATCTTTCTTCCATCACAATGACTTACTAAATATAATGTTCTCTCCTATGTCTGCCTCAGGACCTACAAAATAATAACCCAAAGTTTCCCGAAAATTGTAGCTTCGTTACCAACATATTCAGTAAGCTTAAGTTCCTTTCTTACTTTATTAAATATTGCACAGATACTCAACAACTGGGAAAGTTGCGGACAACTGACGCAGCATATTGCCTAGTGGTATCCCTACAACCAGGGCTCTTAAGCAAGACTATTATTGCGTGGAAACAGTCTGCATACCAGAATCCTTAAACGTAAATGTGCATGTAAGAGTCACAATGAAAACAACGCTTGTGTCATACAGAAATACACACACACACACACACACACACACACACACACACACACACACACACACACACACACACACACACACACACACACACACACACAGTCACACAGTCACACACACTCACAAACACTGGCTCCGCAGAGAACTCATCATGAAGAGAAACAACATGACTGGAAGGCGCAGTTTAGAAATCGCAATCACGCAGACCTCCAACACTACAAAGCCGAATCAAGGGGCATTTAGTATTGTCAGTTACTCGCTAAACTTATCTTACACGTGAAAACCCAGCGAAGTCCACCAATCACCACACCGTCACAAGCAACACCTCACGCTAACCTTCGTCACTTCGCTATTGACCTCATTTTCATATAATGATCTTTTGCATTGCTCCTTTGCATGACTCGATAAATCTCTACACATATGGAAAGCTTAAACTTCACCACGTTTCTACCATACTTGTCGTCATTACTAACTATGCAACATCACGACACTGCACTGAGTGCAATGGACGCTGGTAGTACTGGGCTCAAGGTGCTGTTATGATAGTGGAATTCAGATCAAACTCGTGTAAATTCTGAGAGATCACTCTCTGGCTGTTGTAAAGGATGTACTGTCCTCGCTCTGTTATTACAACGACATTTTCACTGTATAAATAATTAGGGTATTTTTTCCAAGCTTGTAGCTGAGTATCTGATGGTTCACTTGCTGGAGAGCGAGCAGCAGTACTGTCCTTATTTGATTTTTTTGGTGACCTTCTCCAGAAGTTCTCTCTTTGTTATTAGCTACGATAATAAATTTAATTACATAATTCTATACACTGAAAAGGGTAAGTGTACTTTACTTTCTTAAACATGACAGACACCTCACACGAGCAGACATCGCTGTTGTGGTTTGTACAACTTTAAAAACACACCCCTCACACTATCCTGCACAAATCATAACAGAGATTTGAAACCCAAGTGTCTAATGCAGGTCTGTATACACCAGCAGAGACCTACACAGATCCTTAAATATATCAGCAGGTCCTTTACGTAAAGCCTTACATTTCCCAACAGGCCCAGATCATCAGGTATAATACGATGCCCCGTCTCTTACAGCGGACCCCAGTGTCAACTTCGGCTCTCTAATCGCCAGCCAGCCTTCAAGGCGAGGCGCTGAGCCATCATCTCCCAGTACGACTACCGAGATCCAAATAGGTACATAGGGTCCTTGTTGGGCAGATGGAGATGTCCCGCTTCCAAGATCCCTTAGGGAACCTTCTTGGGGGCCCTCAGAGAGCCCTTAACTCGTCTAAATACGCGCGCACAATAGGAGTCTAGTTTAGCCCCGAACATGTTTAGTTATTTGCGTTTTTAGTGTGGTACTCCGTCAGTCTTATTATTTAATTGGCTTTTGTTTTAGTTCTCGTTATAGAGCCTCGAATGCGAGAGTTGGTAGTCTCTTTAGACGGTATTTGTGGTGCTCCGTGTTCTATATAGCTCGTGAGACGTGCTCCTACGTACTAATACACAAATTTATGTTAATGTATTGCCCATTTGAACTTATATAGGTCATGTATGTTCATTTCCGTAGAGCTTGAAATAACCGTGTGACGGAGTATCGTAGAGAATCTCGCGACAATTTATTAGTGCTTGCAAAGTACCATTTTTAATTTGTAGAGAACCAATTGGCCAGTCACAGTGCTAAACTAGACTCGTAATGACCTGTGGAGGTGAACACCCTCCCACTCCGTGTCTTGTATCCTGCATGCCCTCTACCCTTGGCTGAGCCGTATCTACCACAAGTCGAGTCGTCAGTGCCGGGAAACCGTGTGTGCTAAAACAAACCCTCGCTCGTCATGGCAAGGAATGGGGTGGAATAAAGGCGATAGTATGAGATTATCCCGCAAGCACAGAGGTGCTTGTAAGCCACAAGGGTCGGGAGTCGAGCCGAGAATTGACGGGTTTGCTTTTATGACACATGTGCTTCTATAAGGCGAGAAGAGAGAGAGAGAGAGAGAGAGAGAGAGAGAGAGAGAGCCCGTCTTTATGTTTATAGTACAAACTTCAGCATTCCTTCTTAATAATGGTATTTGTCGTTAGTGCTCTTACATTTTTCGAGCTACAAAGCCGAAGGCGAATTTTCACTGTCTTTTTTCCCCCTATTTTTTGTGTTTGGGCTTCTGGAAGGATGAGTTGTTTCACTCTCAGTGTTGAGGGCGAGGAAGGCCTGTTAGTGTAGCGTAAAGTGACCCTTCCGGTGAGCTGTGTGCATTGCCCCCATGGAGAGGCGCATTTTATTTTCGCCTCGTGTGTAGCGCACCGCAACATTTTCAACTAGAGAAGGATGTAGCGGGCGGGGCAAGGCCAGTCTTGTGCCAGGGCAGGGCGGTGTACACGGGCACCACCAGCCTTATACTCCAGGACATTTCTCTTGACCTGCCCCGCCCAGCAGACACTTCTTCACAGCCTCCCTCCCAACTCCCTACTCTTCTTACCTTTTTAGATATCTGCTGAATGCTATCCTCCGTGCCAGTATGTTATCAGTAAATATATCTAGTTTCTATATTTATCGTTTATGTGCATTTATGTTTTTATATGATTGGTAGGGGAAGTAGACAGGTATTTATGAAAAAATAAGCATCACAATACTGTAGCTGGAACATTTCAGTTTGCAGAGAAAAAAAGACATTTCGTTCCTTCCTTGATAATGGTCCAGGACGGAGCGAAACGTCGACTAAAGTTTCCTCTTCAAATTATGGATTAGTTGTGAAGAGAGAGGGAGGGATACAGGGAGGGAAGGATATAGGGAGGGAGGGATATAGGGAGGGAGGGATATAGGGAGAGAGGGATATAGGGAGGGAGGGATATAAGGAGGGAGGGATGCAGGGAGGGAGGGAGAGCAGCAAGAGAGAGAGAGAGAGAGAGAGAGAGAGAGAGAGAGAGTTAGATACGTAGTTAAGTCTACGGCCTTGTTTTGCCATGTTTCACTAACTCAGGGTATATTTTTTTTTCCTTCCCTCATCATCGTGTGTTTTTTATTCACTTAATTTTAGTTTCTGAGGGAATAATTTTGTTTTCACTCGACTAGTCCCGCCTGCTGTCAGTCAAGTCACTGTACTTTAGTAATTATGCTCAAGTTAACTCCCTCAGTCACACCCTGGGAACACCCTGGGAACACCCTGGGAACACCCTGGGACCACACTCCCTCAGCCACACCCTGGGAACACCCCGGGATCACACTCCTTCAACCACACCCTGGAAATACCCTGGGACCACACTCCCTCAGCCACACCCTGGGAACACCGTGGGACCACACTCCCTCAGCCACACCCTGGGAATACCCAAGGACCACACTCCCTCAGCCACACCCTGAGAATACCCTAGGACCACACTCCCTCAGCCACACCCTGGGAATAACCTGGGACCACACTCCCTCACCCACACCCTGTGAACGCTCCCTCACTTCACCCACATCTTAGGAATAGGAACTGCATTACGTCGGACCAGACAAGTATGGGTGTAGGGGAGAGGTTTTAGGATTTTTACGTATGTGGGTTGACCACACATTTGTGGGTGAACCCACACAGGTGTGCGTGGGATTACGCAGGCATGAATGGGACTACACAGGCGTGGATGGGACCACACATATGTTAGTAAGGGGGGGATGGATGGAGGGGGATACTTGGGAGGGGGATGGATGGAGGGGGATACTTGGGAGCCCACCAACATTAACACCAGTGACTGTTGTGTTGTTATAGACAAGACAGACAAGACGGAGGAGGTGGACCTGATATACCAGGTGCTGAAACAAGCAGGTGACCTGGGCGGACGCCGCAGCGTACACGGGTCGGTGGAGCGCGACCTGGGACGCGAGACCGGGGGACGTGACCTGGGGCGCGGCGACCTGGGGGGTTCAGCAGCCTCGTCGGGGTCCGGCAGCGCAACCTCCCTCCACCGCCGCTACCCCCGCCCCACTAACACAGGCTCCACCCTCACCGTCAACCCCGCCCCCGTCGCCTCCTGCTCAGGTACTAACCCACTAACGCTGCTAATACACTCTCATTGTCTTTCCATCTCACTCGTTCTCCCTCTCATTGTCTCTCCTTCTCACTGCTTCTCCCTTTAATTATCTTTCCCTCTCACCTCCCCCCTCTCTACCTCTCCCTTATTCTCCCTCCCACTGTCTCTCCCTCTCACTCACCCTATTATATAATATCAAAAGTGAAAAAGCAATTTCAGAGAAAATGATTATACGAATATATAGAAATCTGTATATTTCGGCTTCCGCCACGGACCCTCTTCAGCAGATAAATTTGGTTTCTGAAGCTTAAATGTAGAGATATCTTTTATGTGTGTCATTTCCCTGTCCAAGTGGATTTTCAGTTTCCACAAATCATTCATCTGCCTATCTCATATTATCATGTTGTCCTAAACAATATCGGGATTTTAGGCATGAATTATTAGAGGACAAAAAAAAATGATAAAATATAAGTGAATTCATAAGTAAATCCATCCAATTAACTTGTTTACGTCCTGTGTCTTTCTAAATCTTTTTCTAACTACTCTTCCTTCCCTCTTCCCAGGTATTTGCCGCCACTAACCTTTTTAATTTTTCCCCCTCACTATATCATTCATTTTTTTTTTCTCGTGAGAATACCATGTATATGTTGGTGATGTTGGAAGCTGGTGAAATGCGATCGTCAGCGAACCTGCAGACTACTACTGCCTCCCCCCCCTCTCTCCACGCTGGAAACAATGGGTCTTCACTTTCTTACAAGAAAACACAAGTTTACCATATCTATTACACTAAACACATCGCTTATACCATTTCTTACTTTTGATACTATTTCATTTATAAATTAAATCTTTTCAGGTTGTATTATATATATATATATATATATATATATATATATATATATATATATATATATATATATATATATATATATATATATATATATATATATATAGGGGTTCCACAAATTCCGTTTCCGATTTTATTTTTGACATGAAAATGGTAAAATGTAAAAATGTATTTTACTGCATATGATAACTGTGATAATTGAGTTTTACACAGCTTCACGACTGTCTAATCTGAGCACCGCCAACACGAGCATCTCTAGCGGCCCGTAACCCATCTAATCAATACCGCGGTTCAACCCACTTTCGGCCAAACATATCCGGTATGACCTTTTTTTGCAGCTACATCCTTTATTCCATCACGGAATGTTGAAATGTCAGCCACTGGCGCCTGGAACACACAATCCTTCACAAACTCTCTCCCTCAAGATGTGTAAAAGTGTGTGGTATCAGAGAAGCCACGGTGAGTAGCCATTAGATAAATCCTCCACGCCCAGTACATCTGCCGGGGCATTACGTTATAACATAATTAAGCTATCGTATGCAGAGAACTGCATCTTCACATCTCTTACCATATTATTGTAATCAAGTGTAAAAATCGGATATGAACATTGTGAACTTTGAATATATATATATATATATATATATATATATATATATATATATATATATATATATATAATATATAAAATATATATATATATATATATATATATATATATATATATATATATATTGTAGTGATCATTACAATTACCTATTTTTTGACTTGCAAAGATAAAAATTATATGCCTCAACACCATTTAGAAGTTAGTGTGACCTAGTGAGAGTCTTGTGCGGGGCTCTGTGAGTGCTGTGGGGGGCTCTGTGAGTCCTGGGTGAGACTGTGAGTGCTGTGTGTGAGACTGTGAATGCTGTGTGGGGCTCTGTGAGTGTTGTGTGTATGTGTATATAATGTTGAAAACACAAAAGAAGAGCTAACAAAACAGAAGCAGTTGTCTTAGAATTCGTAAAAATTAGCATACGTTCTTGTCAACATTTTGGCACTACCGTGCCTACACTCTGGCACCGTTAGAGATCGCTTCCATGTAATGCAAGCACTGTAGCACCACTTGTGGCACCACTATAGAGCACTTTCGCGGGAGTCTCAATTTTAGTTTATTTTAAAGTTTTAAGAGAGCAATGACCTGATGTATCACTCAAAACTCTTGATAAAAAAAATAAGAAACACACAAGATCATCTAGGGTAGAACTACGTAAAAAAAAATATAAAAAATCTATCATTAAAGAGAAAAATACTATCACACCAAATTAAAAATAGGTATAAAAATTCCATTAAGTTGTAGGTGTCACAAAGCTCTCAAAGTTCTCCGAGGTCCCTGCTGATCTCCCAGTAATTATTAGAGAAACACAATGTAAGCGATAAGGCTCAAATAGTTGGTTAACAGTTAACTCGTGCTCCATAATCAACTGCTCCCCTTACGTCACACACACAAGTAGAAGCACCCGATGAGGAGAGGTTTTGGGCAAGGTGTATGGTTGCCTCACCCTCGTTTCAGTGACGTTTCCTGTGGAAGAATGACGGGGGGCAATCACTCGCGTCGTGTCGACCATGACTTACGTCAGTATGGTGCACCAAAGCCAGCCACTTCGCATAGCAATAACTATGGCCATGACCCATAAGGTCTCGGCGAGACACAAGTCTCCTATAGCGTGTTTACATGCTGGTCTGTGAGCTCTTCAAAGAGAAAGAAGTAGAAAGATTTTTTTTTAATCGCAATCCTGTCGTGAAAATCGTAGAGAAGTGTGACTAGCGGAAATCTGGACACTAATTTGTAGTGTTAAATACGGTGTTTTGGCTGGGATTTTGTACCATCTTGACCTTGGCATTTCTGTACACCTTATGTTAATTTAAATTAGACTTGGCATTCACATGCTTATATTTAAATAAACTTTGTAACATTGTCAATATAGAAAACGTGTTACGTCAATATAACTACAAATATATAAATTCATTGCTACTGATGACGCACGAAGACATGTGAAAGATCTTGAACTAAAGATTTCTAACCCCTATATATATATATATATATATATATATAATATATATATATATATATATATATAATATTATATATATATATATCGTACCGAATAGGTAAAATTGGTCAATTAGAAAGAACCCATTTAAAATTAAGTCCTTTCTAAAATTTTCTCTTATACGTTTAATTATATTTTTTTATTTATGTTAATATAAAAATTTATGATTTTGTACCAAAAGAACTAGGAAATTTACCTAACCTTATTATAACAAACGCAATTTAATTTAGCCTAATCCAACTAAATATATTTTATATAGGTTTACAATAATAGTAAACAATGAAATATATTTTTTTCGCTAGATTCAGAATGATTTTTACGAAATTATTGAATACACAAATTTTCGCTTGCCTTATTTGGCAAGAAGTGCGTTGCAACTTAAGCCAAAATCAAACTCACATCCTGGTCAGTGACCAGGATGTGAGTTTATGACTTATTCGTTCTGCACATCACAGCTTGATCACACCAGACGGCTGTTGAATACAAGCATAGTATCTGGCAGCCAAAATGGCGGATATGCTTTGCTCCATTAACGTAATATATCTCTGTTCTGAAAACTTCAAGTAGCAGCCCTCGCCTGAGCATCCGGCCGTTCATTTCCCAGTAGTCTGGTATGATTGCCCCCTGCCCCTGGCATCTACGGAATTCCACTTTATAACAGGAATAGAGATGATTCCATCGTTTTAGCTAAATAATGGTGACGAGAAATTATTTCTATAGTCCCCATCATAAATGGCTCCCTTTTGACACCAGCTCTGACAACAAAAACTTGGCAACAACACTGACACTATAACACAATCTCGGACACCGGCTATGGTACCATTATTGACGTTAATTTTGACACCATTTCTGACCATTCAACTAGAACACCAAAACTGAGAGTCCATTTACAGCATACTAGTATGACACCACTATAGAGCCTACTAGTATGCTACCACTTTAAAACCTACAAGTATGGCACCACTTTAAAGCCTACTAGTATGACACCACTTTAAAGCCTTCTAGTATGGCACCACTTTAAAGCCTACTAGTATGCTACCAATTTAAAACCTACTAGTATGACGCCACTTTAAAGCCTACTAGTATGACGCCACTTTAAAGCCTACAAGTATGACACCACTTTAAAGTCTACTAGTATGACACCACTTTAAATCCTACAAGTATGACACCACTTTAAAGCCTACTAGTATGACACCTCTTAATATCCTGCTAATGTTTCCTAGCTTTACAAGTCCACTTGTGCCGTAAAAGTGTCAAGTGTTGCTATGGTAACGTGTTCTCTCGTAGTGTCAAGTGTTGGTATGGCAACCTGTGTCGCTGTAGTGCCAACTCTGTTTCTTTCCTTTCATAGTGCCAAACACATAAGCAAATATGTAATGGTTATTATAGCAGGCGATACCTGACAATCAAAATTTTCTCCATTTTGCTTATTTACCCTACGTTTGTGTCTTTCGCAGTAGTTCTCTCTCTCTCTATTTCTCTCTCACTCTCTGAATATTTCTTCCCCTTTTTTTTAGTTTTAATTAAGGTCAACACAGTAGGCAGCGTAGTGGTGGAGTCAGCCTTACTTCATGCTGGCGTCCGCACTGCATTATCTAGTGTGCACAAGAATCTAATTAAGAATATTGTGATGCAAAATGAGCCGAGAAAGTATAAGGCAATGTCTTAGGAAGTGAGGATGTTGTTGCACGTGTGTGTGTGTGTGTGTGTGTGTGTGTGTGTGTGTGTGTGTGTGTGTGTGTGTGTGTGTGTGTGTGTGTGTGTGTGTGTGTGTTTGAGCGTGATTTTGCGCTTGAGTTTCGGCGTATTTGTCCTTTCTTGTATTTGTCGGGAATTTGTGAACGAGATCAGAGCTTGTAGCGTCACAGCTGTGTCTCGTGGCGTCACAGCTGTGTCATATGGCGTTACAGCTGTGTCCTGTGGCGTTACAGGTGTGTCTCGAAGCGTCACAGCTCTGTATCGAAGCGTCACAGCTCTGTATCGAAGCGTCACAGCTCTGTATCGAAGCGTCACAGCTCTGTATCGAAGCGTCACAGCTCTGTATCGAAGCGTCACAGCTCTGCTGTGT